ACATACAGTTCAAAGGTATGTACTTCCTGATAATAATAATATATCTCCAGCCAGAGACATAGAAGTAAGTACAGGTATTAACAAGGGAAAATATTGGCAACTAAATACACAGACAATGGCTGGTTTTGAATGATTTATTATTATGAAAGTAAATGTAAGTAAGCATTTGGCTTACATGCTCTCCTCTCATTCCTCAAATATGAGGAATTTGGAAACATTAGTTTCAATTTTTTTATTGGACTATACATTAGAATTATGTAATAACCTGACATACTGCAGTTAATCTTACATGGTTTACTGAAATGCATATAAGTACATATGGTTTATTTGGACTTGCTTTAAGCTGACTAGTGTCAGTAGACCATAATTGAACTTAATCTTACCTTTTAAGCTTCAGTCACATCATATTTGAAAAATAAAACTTATGATTTATTGTGGCAGTGTGAAAGTAGGAGGAAGAATGCTTGTCTAGGGAGGCCTTGCATCCTCATAACAATAAAACATAGTTCATTACCCAACAACAGTCATAAATACCACCATTCAGACTGTACATTGTTAATTCAAAATGCACTACAGTGTCAACTAATAGGATCTAATTGCAGAAAGGAGAAACTTTTATTTATTTGCAGAATCTGAATGGAAACATACATACTTGCCATTTATACAATATGGCCTTTCTCAATATGTCATTCTTTAAGATGTTCTGTTACAACTCCAATAATTCTCATGCCTTTTTCAACACATATAGAGGGCATTGACTTGTGTAAGGCTTATTAACAATAGCATACTAAAGGCCAAATGCTTTCAGCTACTCGTATGCTTACTGGCAATCTCTCTCTTTACTCATTTTCTGCTCAGATTTACTTTGAAGGAGGCCTAAGACTTCTGATGTGTTTAATAATCACCATTACCACAATATACAAATAAAAAAAAAATGCCTTCTGAAATTGTGGCATAACTTTTTTCCTTCAAAGACTGTTCCATTAGATGTCTTAAAACCACCATAAGGTAAACACATGAAATGAAACTTTCTGAAGTTTGGTTATATCTTTTTGGGTCAAGATCACGTCCAATGTTTTGTAAAAGACATTTCTGAAATGCAACTTAATTTATCTTCATAACTGCCATTTATTAACATACTTATGAATAAACACGTACAGTTTGCTTTACTGCTTTCCACCGGCTGTGTACACAGGAAAAAATTTCATATTCCCTCTGGCCGCACAAACACAGAAACCACAGAGCTAGAGAAACCAAGCAAACCACATGAACTGAGCAGACAAACAGATGGGCAAGAGAGAAATGGGGAGGGTAAAAGTTCACATTTCTTTCCATTCCTAGTCAGTAAGGGAATGTGCAGAACAAGACAACGGTCAGGATAAACTGGATTCGGCCTTCAGTGTACCATCACCCTCTATAGGAAATGGAGCAGCTCCCGTCCCCCTATCCTTAGGGGAATTCTGCTTTCATTAAACATAATTATTTTTCCTTATTATTATAGATTCCTTATGTACCATGGGTATTTTATTGCATGATGTACCATTTGACTTTAAAGTGGGATTTTTTTTTTCTTTTGTAGATTTAGGATTTGATCTATAAAATTGTGAATTTATTGCAGGCTTCTAAAAATTGAAGCTGGAAGTGTATTGCAGCTTTTGGCATGCTATTTAAAAAATAACACAGTGTTCCTGCCTTAAGATAGAGAGGCCTGTCAAAAGCTGACTTCCCTTACCCTGAGAAGTTGCTGCCCAAAGTTACTGCTGCTTCCTCTTGTGCAAGTCACTGCCAGTGGATGTCTTGATTGCTGTGGGGTCGGGAAGATTGGATGGGATATTGTGACAAAACAAGAGTTTTGCATAGAGTGACCTCTGAATGCTTCTATCTCTTTTTATCTATGAATATCAAGATGACTTTGATTTTCAGCTTGCAGCAGGAATGGTTTATATTTCAATTTTCTTCAAAATGGTAAAGTCTTATCAGGGATTTCGTGGGGTCACGGTGTACTGATATTAATGATAGAAGTGCAGTTGCGTACCAACTTTTTGCTTGGGTAAAAGCTCATCGCGATAGTAAACCTCAAAACCATGGGGAGCTTGTCAGTTTGGGATAAGCTCTCAACAGCATTGGTTCCCATTAATGCAAATGGGAATCACACCTACATTATATTCATTCCAGTGACTGCTAGTCAAGGAAGTTTCTGTTATTCCAAATGTATCTTTCTTGGGCCTTTCCTTGTGAGGAAAGTTCAGATGATGAATTAACTAGTTCAGATAAGTTCTGAGATGTATATTGTCCTTCTTGAATAAGAAGATGAAGGGAAAAAACATTAAAAACAAATCTGAACCCAAACTCATCAATACAGAGATGGCAGATGACAGTATTCTTTCCTTGCAGCTGCAGCAATAACATACACTGTTATTTCAAAAAGATTTACTTTGTTTAGAAACTGGGAGAAGGGATCTGTCAACTTATTAAGGCAGAGTGGTAGTTACAATTAATTAGTTAAATAAACTTAAAGGAGTGCATTCTTGAAAATTTGCCTATGCCAATTAATGTACAGCTGAGTCACATTAGAATAAGGAGATAGGCAAAATACCAGGATTTTGCTAGCTTTATTTCATTTTCATCTAATTTTTTATAATTCAGGTTTTTTTAATGTTATTAACTCTTACATGGAATAAAAGCATGCCCTTAGATTTTTTTTTTACATAAGCTTTTGTTTATAAAACTAATTATTCATAAGTGCTATTTTTGACTGGATTCACACATTTTGTTAAGTTGTAGCTTGCTTATCTGTGGTTTCTTTCGTCAGCCATTAGTGCCTGGGTTTATACATTACACTAATTCATAAACCATAGTTTTCAACCTGAAATGACACAATAGGCTAAACACAGTGACAGAGTATGACATGTGAGCTCATTCTGTTACTCTGTCAAAATGTATTCTAGTCTAGCAAAGGCTTTGGATTCAAACTTATGATTTATGCCTTACATTGGCAAAGAGTGATATGAATATGATAACTGGCCCAATGGTTCAGAATTTGGCAATGAATGGGCAAAATAGGGCAGTTGCCCCAGGTGGCAGATACTGGAAGGTGACCACAAGATGCTTGAGAAGAGTTGGGGGCTACTGTTCTGTGTCCCCAAAGGTAGCCTGCTGCTTTCAGGAATAGTAGATGATGTTGCTCCATCATCCCTGTTGAAGAATATTTCAGTAGAGCTGACTAGTGTACAAAGAATGGGGGTGGCAGTGACATTCTTATTTCAGGCTGTGGGTGCATCATCACAGGGGTTACTTCTGAACAGCTTTATAAATCTGAATTACACTACCTGTTTTTCTCAGTATTGAGTGATAGTTGATAGTGCCAACAATTTTGGACAATTGCACATGTGTTAACAGCTTTGTGCTTCATATGTCTAACTCTAGGTATCAGTCTTTTTGTTGAAACTCTGTGCTCAGAAACATTTCCATATGGAGGTAATGTTTAAATCATATTAGTCTTCAGATAATTAATGTGGAAGAGAGAATTGTGGTGCAAACAAGCATGTTGGCAAATGTAGATTTTATGTTATTATGGCAAACTAATTCAACCTCTTTAAAATTCATGTGTGAAAGCACTCTAACTTAGATTTTGCCATATTTGTATGGTTTGATTCAACTTTTGAGCGCAATTAGATTGTTATTAAAATAAAGGGAAGGCTTCTTAGTTTACAAAAATTGATATTTGCCATGCTGATAGAGGATTAAGGTAATTAGGCAAATGAACATCTGATATGCAATTATTTGAGGATAGATCCCTTAAAAAATCTTTCTCTTCTAGAAACTTCCTGTATACTACACATTTGCAAAACTATATTTTAAAACTTCTGCTGAGGGAGGAATTTTTTTGCAACTGATTTTGTTTTAATCCCACAAAAGAGAAGGCTATCTGTTTCCAGAAGGCATGTTGAATCACCCAAATGATCATAAGCCAACTCATACAGTACTTGGCTTTGAACTAACATTTCACCAATACTGGCCTCAACTTGAAGACTCAGCACAACTGCAAATAATTGCATTACTCATCAACTATTTATTATAAATCTCCTTTCTCTTGCCAGAAATAACTCGAGGATGTGTAAATGTAAGTCTGTATCAGGAAATATATTACTTTTATCAGGGTTTGATCTGATATTATTTTTGACAAATTATCCCAAATCTCTAACAGCAAATTTTCTTGCTGTAGTAGTTTAATAGAAAGGATATATATTATATTTAGGTTGCTTGAATTACCCATGAATGGACAAATGCCACCAGTCAGAGGCCATTATGGAACAAGTACTTTTCCTATAGCAATTGGACTTCGTTTTTGCTGATAGAATATGATTGTATTTGTTTCCCTTGCTTAATTTACCAGATAAAATAGTTTATTATTTTTCTCTTTTTTCCCCTAGCATATCTACTGGACAAAGTCATGGGTTGAGACAGAAGGTGCTGACTTACTCTTTAAGGATGGCACTTACCCTGATGGTTCAGTCTTAGTCTGTAAATTCTTTTCTCTCTTCCTGAGCTCAAAATCTATTCAAGCTATCATTTGAAGAATCATAATGTCTAAACCAAACTTTTTGATCAGTCCACAGCTCTAGTTCCAGATAAAGCAACACAGCAGCAGAATGAAATTCAAATGAGTTCTTTTGATACTGTTTATATATATATCCCTTCACCCTCAACTTTCAGTTTTGCACTCATAATTTTGCCTCAGTTATGTATGTATGCTTGTGATAATGGTTTTCTGTTCAAGTCCGCAGTGGAAAAATAAGGTTTAAAGGAGGTATATATGTATATGTCAGTCCCCACTCCCATCCATTTGTTTTACATTCATGAGTTTGAAGTTATTTGCTTTTTTCTTACTGTGGGTTTAGGATCCACTTACCACTAGCTCTAAGTGCTGTAAACTAAGCTCTACTTCGATGTCTGTGCTCTTATTGTTTTATGTTGATTTTTATCTTCTCTACTTTCAGGGAAAGCTTCCAGTTCTCCTTCTTGGACGTTCAGCAGAGTTACGGCCTGGTGAATTTGTGGTTGCAGTTGGAAGTCCATTTTCTCTTCAAAATACAGTGACTACTGGGATTGTTAGCACCACACAGCGAGGAGGCAAAGAACTGGGACTTAGAAACTCTGATATGGACTACATCCAAACAGATGCCATTATCAATGTAGGACACATTTTATAAATCTTTTATCTTAAATGCAGACTTCTATACTAAAAGAATATGGCACCACTGCTTCTTCTAGGATGGCATTTTTTTTTTCTTTGCTTTCCAGTCTAGTCTGTAGCATTCTGTTTTCTTGTGGCCTCTCATCCCACTTCTGACCCTACTTAGCTTTTCAAGATTTGATGAACAAGGAGAACTTTTATTTTGCCTATCATGCTATTTTGGGGGGGGGGGTCTCTGGTGTCCTGGCCTATCTTTCAGATCAGTCACTTTTAACTCTTACTGTTCTTCAGGGTTTTGATAGTTTGTTGAGTGCTAATCCTCTCATGAGTATGTATGTGTTTAGGATGAGTTTTCATAGAGCAGTGCACTGATTATTGATAGTGCTGGAAGGATCTGTTAAATCTCAGTTAATCTTTACATTCTAGGCTAGTTATTCAACATAAGGATTTCTGCAATTCTTCTAGGAGATTAATTATCTCCAAAATTATACTGAGGAGACGATCCCAAAGAGTATATTCTTCCCATTTATAATGACCCTGTGTCTACCAACTCTTAGTTTCATGCTTTTAACCACATAATATACGCATGGATCTTAAGCTAAACATTGTCTTTCAAATAGAAGTACTACGCGTCAATCTGTCTGGAAGCACCTTAGGTTAGATTTATTCCATTTAGGTTTGATTATTTACCTCCGTGTGAAGATATGCTGTGAATAAATGTGAACACCATTTCTAGAATGCATTAGGTAGCAACTATATTTCAAAATGTAAAAGATATTTCTAAATCAGTGAAAATACAAGATTAAAAGGCATTTTTCTCCTAAATTTACAGTATGGAAATTCTGGAGGACCTTTAGTGAACCTGGTAAGTGTTTGTTTGTTTTTTCTTAATACTTTGAAGTTTTGGATTTTATAAAAAACTAGCACTCTCTTCCACATCCTCCCCAAATAATAGAGTTTATATTTATTTAATCACTCATTGTTGATTCTATGTGCTATCCTTGGAGTTCAGTATTCAGAACTGTACTATGTGCATATTTGAATGGAAATAAGAATATTTTTAGATTCTTACCTGTTTCTTAAACATTGTATTAGGCAGGTAACAAAATAAAGCCCCATACTCCTTATCTTACTTTATTCCTTTGTTCTTATGTTATTTAATGATTTTCCCCTATGATGTGTTGGCCCCCACATTAATTGAGTAAATCAAAATTAAGCAACTGGAAAGTATCAATGAGATGTTGATAACCTTATATTCCTTTTCATGTCACATTTATTGTGGCTAAATTACTGTGAACTACTGGTTCTCATCCTGATGCAGGAAATAGACTAACAAGTTATATAAATGGAAATGATATTGTTTGATCTCATAAGATTGTTAACATTTGGAGCCCAGTTATACTTGGCTGTTAAAACTTCCCTAAATTGATGCCATCCAAATGTATTGGACTTCAGTTCCTAGCATGCGGTTTCCCACTGGCCATTCTAAATGGGAAATCTCAGTTCAGCACATTTGGAGGGTACCAGTTTAGGAAAAACTAGCAAGTATGGTTCTGAGGAAATACGTGTCAAGAATATTTTTTCAGCCAGAAAGGTCTGCAGCCGTGCCTGATTTACATTAGTCCATTTTGTGATTGCAACACCTCCCTGAAGTTGGCAGGAAAAAGATCCAGCTGCACTCTAAAAGTGCAAAAGAAGCTAGAATTTATTTTGAAAGTAATATTCAATTTCTAGTTGAAAATCAATTTAGAACTATAGATGCTATATGATAATTAGATCATAGACAAGAATATTAGTTCAATTTACAGAATAGAAATTGTAGCCTTTATCTGAAGAGCTTATACTTACTTAACTATTCACATTACTACAGGATGGGGACGTGATTGGTATTAATACTCTGAAAGTCACTGCTGGAATCTCCTTTGCAATACCATCAGACAAAATTAAAAAATTCCTCACTGAATCACATGACCGACAATCTAAAGGTATTGTACTATATTATGCAATAGGGAAACGAAGTCAGAAGTCGGTGGGACTTAATTTTGGGAAGATAGTGGGCTTGAATTTTGAAAGGTCAGTTTCTAAACTCTGTCCACTTAATAAGCCAGTACATCATTGAAGGAACCATATCATCTGCTCCTTATGTAATACTGTATGCTGGTTTTTTGTTGTACTATTTATGTGAGGTAGCATTAAGATATTATATCTCAGCTGCTTATAAGATGGACCCATCTCCATCTATTTCCATTTCCTAGGCCCATTTCATGGCCCATCATGGCTTTGGTCAATAGAAGCTATATTTGGCTTTAGTCAACATATGCTTTTTAGTAAGGTAGAGATAGAGTAGGCTAGATTACCAGCCTTAGTCATATCCTGACAACATGCAGGAGTGATCAGTTTTGGTACATTTTGGCCAGTATGCCACAAATACAAATTAAGTTCAGATTTATTTGTTCATCAGTTTACTTAATAGTATTTATATACACAAGCATGATCATACTATTCTGTGCAAACTAGGTATCTCTACTCTGAAGATGACCTTGAAAGTTAGCATATTGTTTCTTGTTTCCCATCAACTAGGGGCATCTGCAGTATAATGACAATATAATGATAATAAAATGACTATAGGAAAAGAAATAGAATGAGTAGAAAGTGGATGTAAGGAAAGAGGATGTGAAATCTGCTTGGAACAGAGTGAAAAGAATTATGTTACAGACTGCCTCAGAAGTGTGTGGAATTACACTAATTAGAAGTTTGAAAGATTTTGCTTTGTGGAATGATAAAATGAAAGAGGCTGGGGATGATGAAAAATACATGTGGTGATTACTGCAAAAATGAGGATGAGAATGCGTCATATATTGTATAATGTGCAAGTAGTTAAAAGATAGTTGCCAAGAATATACAGTGGTAACTAGGGTCACCTGTTCACGACCAATTTGGGTCACGAACAGCACCATTCGCAAAATTTTGCTTCAGTTCGCAAACTCCGCATCAGGTGACGAACAG